TGCTCGAAAAACATACGTACACAAACCTTCATCTCCTCTAGAGTACTCACCGGAATTCCATGGTTAATGATTTGGAAAAAAACCCCATTCTTTTGATGCATTAAGGACTTCTTTAACGATCTCTTTGTGAGTACCGGGATCGTCCTTGACTCCTTGAAGATCTATAACAGGGATACGGAACTGCGTGGCACTTGGAACATCTGTTTCCCCAAAGGTATTCGGTGGCACATGAAATATTCGGGGAACCTCCGAAATTCCGGCATCTACGAGTCCTTTGACACCGGCTTTCGTCTCATCGAAAGCTTTGACTTCACTCGCTTGATCATATTTTGGTTCGAACTGGACTTCACCTGCGTTGGCTGCCACCATTTTTTTCTTTTATTGTTTCTCAAGGTATTTTCTTCGTAGAAACAATCTTTAGTGAATGACGAGAAAGGGGATGTGAATAAATAGATGGCAAAGAAAAGATAAAAACAAAAAGAGTAACGGTGACTAGAGATACTCTAAAGAAAGATAATGTTCATGAAATTTGTGGATCTTACGTAGCTATAACTAATAGTCAATACTGGTGTTTTAAATACTATAAATTTATTGAATTGTTAAAAATAATTTCTACAATGTTATAAGTAATGATAAACTTTGATAAATTTATAATAATTGAATAAGCTTGATAAACATTTTATAATAATTCGATAAATTTAGTAATCATTTTATAATCACATTTTGTAAAATTTTAATATAATTTAATAATCTCTTGTATAATTTAATAATTCAATATTATACATTTATCGAATTGTTACAAAATGATTTCTACAATGTTTTAAATAATAATAAACTTTGATAAATTTATAATAATTGAATAAGCTTGATAAACATTTTATAATAATTCGATAAATTTGATAATCATTTTATAAAATTTTAATATAATTTAATAATCATTTTATAACCATCATTTTGTAAAATTTTAAGATAATTTAATAATCTCTTATATACTCTACCAAAAAACATTAACAGATTCTAGTATCATATAGTAACATTATCAAATTATTAGAAGAAAATTCAGTTTTCTGACTTGCTGAAACAAGACAAATTCCACCATTACTTCAATAAACAAGATGCCAACGAAATTTCAAGTGATCCAGCCGAGTTGAGTGAATAATTCGACCATTGAACAAGTCTAAACGGTCCAACCAATTTGAGATATTTGGGAAAACCACAGAAATTTCAAAGCAAGTTCATCGAGTCAATCATTTTCAGGAACTAATCCGTGATGCATTAATACAAGCAATGTTCACCTCAAAATGCTTATCAATGAAGAACAAACAATCCAGGAGCATTCACTATTTTAAACATTCACATTAAGAATTCGTTTTCAAAGGACGGAGAGTGCTTCAAAACGCACCTAAATCGACTGAAACTTCTCTCACATCATACCCCGAACATCAGATGCGATAAAAGTTCTCGGCATTAAACCATTATAGAGGACGATTTTTGTGTTCTCAATCGTCAGCTGACCCACAGTAAAGTGATTCAGGGCTTTAAAATGACCCCAAAGTTAACTTGGTGTTTTTCTCATACATTAACATAAACAGGCACAACAAATCCAGGATTGAAGCAAAACCAAAAGATGCTGCAGATTTATAAGCAAAATTATCAAACCCTTTCTGAAAACTAAATAGCAATGAACTTAACTACGTAGTTAACGGTATCGAACCGTCCAAGTAATATGCTCTTTCCCCCATAATCTTGACAAATCAAAGCCATGATACAAGCACATTTATATAAATAGATATGTGGGTTCACTGAGGTAGACAGAGATCGAACAAAAACCTAGATATTCCTCTTCAAAATGTCTTTGTTTTTGGTGCCTTTTTCTTGTGTTGTCTCCTAGGGATCGAGTTCTTCATGCCAATAAAGAAGAGTAACGCCCCTAACAGCGCCAAGTTCTGAGAACGGGAGTTTATTAGAAAAATATAATTTGAAATGAATTGCCGACAAGAAATGCATAATTGGAAGGAAGAAATGGAACATGTATCAACGCCTTTTCCTTTTCGGAAAAATAAATACTATGAACTACTAACCAGTGTGAATTTGGTGAAAAGTATGCCAAATTCTTTCTTTTCCATGTCATAGTTGTAGAAGTCATACAATATAGGAGTAACAATGAGCTGCTGCAGAACCTACACGAGTAGAATAGTGTAATACATCAGTTAAAATCGTTGATAATTGAATTACTAACTCAAAAGAATACATAAATCCATAAACGAACCAGAAGATAAGCTCCAATACTGTTGCCAAATGTGAAAAGGATGCCCCCGACACCTTTAAAGGCTACAGAAGCAGCAACTAGATACTTAATCTGTAAATAACAGCTCCAAGAGTTACGACTTCAGAAAAACATGATATATAAATATGTTTCTCAGAGGCGAAATAAAGCAATTCTTACATCGAATTCTGGCACTTGCACCCCTGTATGAACTGATACAGTCTTTGCGAAGACATCAAATTTTGGTTTCAATACCTCTGCTGCTGGGCCTCCATCAACTCCAAATTCATTGAACCTATACACATGAACACTTAATGTAAGAATAGAAATAAGCAGGACACAACTTAGACCAAGTTCAAAATTACCAACTCCAGACTTTAAGCTCAAGCTAGGAAACAGTATGCTTGTGATTGAAAAAGAAGGCCCAAACCTCTATCATCTACGGCTCTTATATCTCTGTGTGTGTTTGTAATTTGGGAAAAGGGATGGAAACCCTGCTTTGAGCAAGCGTTATTAAGGGCAGAGTATAAAAACGGTGCCTAATCTGAGTACAGTTAAGCACAAAATGTACATATGTGTGTCTTTTTATATAGAACCATGATAATAAATTAAAAAGAACAATCTAGTTTATCTTAAAAACATGAATATTTTTTCTCTATTTTGTTAGCCGATATGCATTATTTCCTTATGGTCTCAGATTAGTTGTTGAATGATTTTGGGGGCACTTATGTTGTCTAGCACAACGCCTAGGCATGCCTTCCAACATGGCATTTAGCAATGTGTCATGATCCATAGCAATTCGATATGTACCATGCTTTGTCGAACAGGCATCATGATACCATAATCCGACTTACCTGTCACCGTGCCTCATTTCAGGCATAATCCAGACGAGACCATAATTTAAAAATCTTATTAGATATCATTAAGCACTTAATCATTGATAATTCTGCGTTAAAAAGGGGAATTCAGCAGGCATTCAAAAGATACATTATATATGTATATGTACAATTGCCATAAGGCTTAAACATCTAAGCAATTTAACAGGAACATCATCAATATAATTTCACACTTTTATACGAAGAAATTGTCCAAACAGACATCTTGATTGAACTAGTTTTTTCCCCAACAAAGCTAGAAACTTTACTATATACAACATCTATTAACATAAAACCCTAACAATTATCAGTCCTTAAAAAAATTAAATCGACATAAATTAAATTCTAATTCCAGGTTGGAACAGCTCTGAGTTCCAAATCAGAATTAAGATCCAAACTCAAACTACCCCCTCTCTTTTTTCTCGAGAACCAAACATTCGCCATCAGCAAAACACAACAAACAAAAGTTAAAAAGGAAAAGAAGTTTGGATCTGAAGTGAAACTTACTCTTGCCAAGCAGAGAGGAGAAATATCGAAGCGAAAAGCACTCTTCCGACGAAAGAAACAAACCCCATTATTTTTTTCGAGTAAAAACCTTAAAATTCAACGAAAAAAAAGTTGTTTTTTGAGAAACAAAAGAAACCACTGTCTGAAAGGGAAACGAGATCGAGAGGTACGAGAGCCGTTTAGGTTCAGTAAATGACTAAATTGGATTGTTGGTTCGGATCCGATGTACCCAATCGGACCTTGAAAGATTCGAGCTTTTGGATTCGGGTCTATTTGATTCTGATTTCCCTACATTTCCACGGATCCTGATCTAATTTAAAAATAAATAAATATTATAATTTGTAGGAAAACTACACATTTAGTAACTGAATTAGATAATTAATTTTATTTTGAGGACTAAGTAAAAGCTTTTGTTAATTAAGTCATTATCATTTCATTTAAGTACCAATCAAATTATTTATTGTTACATAATTAACTATGAGATTTACGTGACAATTTTAAAATATGTATAAAAATACAATTAGTCTTTTATATTTACAAATTCAATGAAATTGACCTTTAAATTTACAAACTTTATTAATTTGATCCAAAAATTCCTACAACATAAACAACATTTTTTCTTTTTCACTCAAGCACTTTAGATTTTCCAATTTTTCAAGTCACCCCATCATTTAGGGTCATTTTTATTGAAATATCATATTTAAAACATATTAATTATTAAATTAATATTTAATATTTTATAAATTTTTAAAATAACACCCTTTCTATCGCATAGAATAAAAAACTATAAAATAATATTTTTTTCTCAATAGAATTTCAAGTTTAATAAATAAATATAAACAAATTTAAAAATCTTTACCTTAATAATGATAACTAATGCATTATTAATAGCTAACTTGAGTAATTGTTATATTATTATTAAATTACATGAATCTACAAATGAACACACTATTAATGCATGACATCCTCCTCCTCATCCTCCAAACGATGATTTCACTGCCCAATATTGCATGAAATCATATGATATATTAAAGTGTCATTGACCTTGATAAAAGGGTTCATATTAACAAGAAAAGCAAAAAGTACTTAGAAATTAGCAAAGGAACGTACCAGAACTACGCAAGACGAACCCGGGGCACTTCCATCCGCGACAATTTCATCCATTTCAGTTGTATCGAGTGGAATTTTTTTGGTAGAAAGATAAGCAGGTTTCGCACAATCCCAATGGACAACATAATCACAGGTAGAATCTGCACATTCAAGAGACAAATCTCGACAAGACTTACCATATTTGTGGCATCCGGGACAAGAATATGTCTTCTTCACAAAAGTTAGAGGATGCGGGTGATCCTCTAATACCCTGAAAATGCTTCCTTGTTTGATAAACGGATACTGTCCAAGAACACAATCAGGATGAGCAGAAACATCACAGATCGAACAACGATAGAACCAACGACTCGAGCTTCTCTTTCTTTCACAGATATCACAATACAGATATTGGGAATATGTATTGACCTCTTCATAAGTGCAAGTATGTGTTCATCACATCTGTGCCAACCCGTGAGCGGTTGTCTTAAACATTGGATATGCAAACTGATTGGGCAACGCTTACATTTGAAGAGACCAAGCCTTTCGACATCGCATGCGTCACACCGTCCTTCGTAATTACGATCATAGTGAATAGGGTGTTTTCGTGCAGGATGTTTGATAGTGAAGCTCCTCGTTGCACAATGGAGGCAATAATGAATATCACACTCCTCGCATCTGTAGGAGAAGCCGTTGCACTCACTTTGACAAAGACCACATTTGAAAATATGATCTACAACAAGGATAAGAAACTGTTCACATTTGTGAAACCACATTCGTTTCTCCAGAGGCAATTCAGCACATGTTTTGTGCAGAAAGAAATCACATTGCGAGCAATGATAAAACGGATACGAAACGGGTAGGACACACCCATCACAGTATTCCTCCATGAGATTGGCCCCATCACAATGTTCCTCCATGGGATTGACCTTTAATATCAGATCATGTACATGGCTGAAATGTCTTATTTTTGTCATTTCTCCATCTTTGTTTTTCTCAATGCAAATGATGGGATTAGTAGACCTTCTCGGAACCATTGTCAAATCACCAAGAAGCTTTGCTTCAATCACCTTGTACCATCCTTTCTTCTCTAAAGCACATCTCACATGGATAATGAACTCGCAGAAGGGGCAAGAGTAACTCCCATACTCCACTTTCACTTCATTATAACAAATTTTACAATCACGATCCCTGTACACATGAGGTTGAAGGAAATATTTGTGGAAAATCGGGTGTTCATGTCGGGGGATTGTGATTATGGGTGGCAGGGAAATGCATTGTTTATGGACTACAAGGCTGCATGCGGAACATATATAGGAAACAGAGTTTCCCTTAACACCACATGCATCACAAATGAATGAGACTTGTCTCCACAACAAAGTGAAAGGGTGTTCATGGGTGTTTTCTTTAATGGTAAGAGGTGGTGATGCAAACTCGAAATGAAGGTTAAAATTGCAAGATGAACAACGATAAACAAATTTACCGCGTTGGGTTTCTTTGCATGCCTTGCAAGATGGATTGTTTTGGAATGCTAGAACGAGAGGGTGTTTACGATGGAAGGGAAGATCGAGTTTAGGAGGTAACACCGCACATGCTATATGAAGTGCAAATTTACAAGGTGAACAAGAATAGCTAAATCCACGTGCAGGTAGGATTTGATGACATAAGTTGCAACGGGATCTTTCAACACGAAACTGTAAAATCAGAGGATGGTTCTTATGAACGGGGTAATTGATTTTAGGAGGTAGTTCAACACATTTCTTATGTAGGTTAAACCCACAATCAAGAGAAAAGTGCATAGATCCTACTAATGGTTCCCCACACACAAAACATCTGACCTTAACTTCTTTATCGTTGTCTTCAGCGGATACCGACAGAACTTTGAGAGGTACACTTTTAAGCTCTCTAAGTCTCTTTTTAGCAATGCTGAAGGACAATAAAGCACATTTGACATGAAGGTCTAAATTACAAGAGCGATGATAAATAAATTTCTCACAGGTTTTGCCGCAGAAATCGCATAAGGCTCGTCCTCCCTTGTATGATGGCTTTGGTAAGAGAACAAGAGGGTGATTGCTATGGTAAGGGTGGCGAATCTCTGGAGGCTTTCTTGTGGAGGTAAAACTCACATTCCTCTCCCCACACCTTGAGCAAGTAACCTCTTTGATTTTATTACTCGACACATTGTTGAACACCATCGGATGGTTGTGCCCGAAGCGTTGTGATCCCATCTCCATCTCCATGTCTCGAACTTTTGAAGTATGTAGCAAGGTAAGAGAAAAATGCATTTCAGAAAGCATAAGCTATGATTTATACTTTTATGACTATTATTCTTGCCCATCATTGAATCTAACAACAATCAGTATGTAAATCAATTGATTCTATTACTTTCAGTAAAGATAAAGAAATAAAAGCAATCCCAGAAACTTAATTATTTACCTTGTCGACAAAGTAATGCTTATTATCTCTTGAATTACTCCAAGATATGCCATTCTCCCCCCTCTAAATCTTTCATTATTTTAAGTTTGCAAGTTTAGAATCAAATTCACATCATCAGAATTTATGTAGAACAAAAATAATAAAATTTATCCAAAATGTCGGAAGAGTAACATTTACTCCATTCACATTATCAAATTGAATGGATCAATTACGAAGTTGTTATCGGAAGATAATCCTCCAAAATACAGGGAAACTACTGTTACATAACATATGACTCACTTCCAAAACAAAGGCCTTGATGGAAAGTTTGCACTGCAACATTTCAGATATGAATTAGCTCCCTCTAAGACAAAAGATGAATCATTAGTCTTTTCATGTACAACTATGAATTAGAAAAATAATAGATTGTTATTATGCATATGTATGTATGCATGCATACATCCATGCATGTAGTGTTGATTGTGGAATTTAGCGTTTTGTTGCTACGGTCATTGAAACTATTGTTCCATGTCATGAAAAATGGCGGCTTTCAATTCTCATCTAACAGATCTCACTCATGCATCCCAAAGCATAGATGGTGAAGATACTAAATTTTTTTTTATCCATATTATTATTATTAATATTATTATTATCCTTATTATTATTAATATTATTATTATCCTTATTATTATTAATATTATTATTATCCTTATTATTATTAATATTATTATTATCATTATTATTATTATTATTATTATTATTATTAATTTATATTAAATATATTAAATACATAATAATAATTACAGACCCATTACATTTGGACCGGCCCAGTTACAAACCAACCAGAACCGGTCCAGATCCAACCAGAAACCCTAAATATTTGGGTTTCCAGTTAGGGTTTCCTAACCTTAATCTAACCAGCCGCCTCAGCTCATAGCCGTTGGATCTGGCAAGATCCAACGGTCCAGATGGCTCCAGAGAGGAACCCTAGGGTTTGATACCCTAGGGCCACGCGGCGCCGCCCCAGCTTCCACACGGCTGCCGACAGTTTTCTCGCCGCCTCCGCCGCTGCCACGTCCCAACCGAAGACTCCAGAAGATAAAATGGCAGCCGTCCACGCCATGGCTACTCGGTGAGTCACCACTGGTAGTCCGGTGACTCACCGAGAGCCCTTCTTCGGACCGGTCCGACGGCTACAATGGTGGTGGCTATAAAAGCCACCACCCCACCTGCGAAGAAAAAAAAAGAGAGGACAGAAACTAGAAACAGAGAACGGAGAAGAAAAAGACAGAGAAAAGAAAAAAAAAACAAACTAATACCAACGATCTCAGCAGCAAAGAACCAGAAGAAAAAAAAGAGAGAAAAAGGAAGAAGAGACTTACCGAGGAAGCGTCGACCACCGGATCTCGTCAGAACCTTCGAAACATCGAAGGTATTTTTATAAGATTTGCTCCGATTAGGAGCCTTTTAAAGGAAGAGAACACCGGGACCGTCTTTAGGACGGTCCGATCTATCTATTCGTATAAAAATATTTTTTTCCGGCCACCGGATGCGGTGGCCGGCGGTGATATTCACGGCGGCCCACGGTGGCCGACCGGTAACCGGCTTCCCTCTGATGAGGGAAGCTAGAGAGAAGGCAGAGAGTTTAAAACTCTCTCAGTGAAGAGAGAGAGAAGAAAATGGAAAATGAAGGTTGGCCCTTCGGGCCAGCCGGTTTTGGACTCTTATAGTCCTTCCCGAACGACGTCGTTTCGGGAAGGACTATGCGCGTAATTATGAAATAGTTAAACCCCGTCCGCAGTCCCTCGTATTTGTAAATTTTACATTTTGGTCACTAAACTGAATTTATAATAATTTTAATTCAGTCTTTGAATTTTAATTTTATTCATTTTAGTCCTTTTTATTAAAATAATATATTTAGGATAAATAATAGATTTAATCCCTCAATTTTAATAAATAATATTTTAATCCTTAGTTTATATTTTTAATTTATTTTATTATAATATCCGAATTTTAGATAATTTTATTTTAGTCACTAAATTATTAAATAAGAAAATAGCATGTTTAATCCCTATAATTTTGGTTAATTATAAATTAGATTTTTAATTTAGTCAGTTATTTTATATGTTTTCATTTATTTTATTGTTTTTAAATATATTGTTTTAGTAGTATGTTTATTATATGAATAAATATTTTTTCATATATATATAATAAATAGTAATTTTTAAATATTTATTTTAATATCGAAGAAAAGGACAGTCTTAAAACAACTGGATGTTCTATTCTGATGTTTTAAAATTAAAAATTAAACAATATTATTTAAAATTTATCAATATCAAAGAAAAGAGCTGTCTTAAGGCACCTAGAAGTTCTTTTCTGATATTTATAAATAAATAAATATTTTTTTATATATAATTTTGAAATAATAAGATTATAAATTAAATATATTTTTGAATTTTTAAATTTTAATAATAAGAGACAATTTATAATTAAAAAGTACCAATTTTGGGCGTTGTAGGGGTGCTAATCCTTCCCTAAACGTAACCGACCACGAATCCCTTTTTATTATTAAGAACGAGTTTTTGGTTATAAAACGCATATCAGTTCATTTTTTAATTGATGTTTTTTATAAAAACTCTTTTAAAAGAAAAATTTTTAGGTATTCGACCTACCTGATTCAAAAGGTCGATGGCGACTCCCAAATTATTTTCAAAATTATTTATTCACATCAATTTCCCCGCCAAATTTAATATTTCGTGCCCGGACGAAAACCGGTTACGACAGCTTGGCGACTCCGCTGGGGAACTGGTCAAACTTTTAAAAATTAATTATAAATTGTCTCTATTAACTAAAAATTAAAAATTCATATATTTAATTTTTAATTCTTTCTTTTCAAATTTTTTATGTATTTATTATTTTCATAATATTTATCTGTTTTATTTTATTTTATTTGTAATTATTTTATTTCATTATTTATTTTACTGTCAAAGGTTTGAGCATTTCTCCTCACACACAACACTTGCATTGCATAACATAAAGCTCTATAATTGAGTTGTCCCTTTTAAGTGGGGGTGAAAGCGACGTCTTCGTGAGAATTTATTCTCCGTGTCAGACCTAGCAAGTAACTTCCGGGGTTCATATGCTCTATGTTTTCGTGAGAATTTATTCTCCGTGTCAGATATAGAGAAATGTATCCCCTCGAATTGAACTCGATCCACTTTAGTCTGTGATGGACTAGGGTTGAGGGTTAGCAGCATAAGGGGGCACTAACATGGACAATTCGAGTACCTTTACTCCTAGATCTGAAACCCTGCATATAAAAAACCTTAGAAACTCTTCCAATCCGAAGTCATGCCGAAATTTTGTCCAAAAAAGATGTACACACAGGAGAAATGAATTATGTCTTTCCTGTTAATTTATTTATTGTTTAAATTACATGTTTATTTAAATTATTTAAATTTAGAAAAGCATGTTTAAATTAAATAAATGTTATTATTGAATTTTTTATGTAAACTAATTTATTTTCTTTTTTTGTGTGTTCTTTATTTTTCTGTTTGCATTGCATCATACAGGATAAAAGACATTGATCCTTGTGTTAATTGTCTCATTGGAAAGCCTTCATCTATGGATAAAAAGTGTTCAAATCAAATAATTCTGAACTCAGAAGTAAGACAGTGGGCTGAGGATTTACAAAGACAAGAAGGAGATAGTCTGCAGGATGATTATGTATCTGACTTGGCCAGTTATGCTTCAGTTTCACTAAAAAGAAATGATATGCAAGATTTGCGAAGCATTTGGGAAAGTTGGGATTCAAACAAAAATTGCAGTTTTATCAGACTTACGGAGACATCCCATATCTGCTCTATGTAGAAGTTGATGATGAATTACTCCGAGCCCTAGTTCAATTCTGGAATCCAGGGTACAATTGCTTCACTTTCAATAAGGAGGACTTGGTCCCTACTATTGAAGAATACACAACTTTGTTACATATCGAAGGGGCTTTGGAGAATCGAATCTATTCAAAGTCAATTAAAACTCAACCCTTCCGAGTTAAATTAGCAAAAATTGCCGGAGTACGAGAAGAATGGGTAGCATCCCGTACAAAACAAAAAGGCGAAAGCGAAGGCATTGCTTGGACCAACATCAGAGAACTTATTCAGAGCCATCCGGATATTAAAGTACGATTCGATCTATTTGCTCTGGGTATATATGGTATGGTCATCTTCCCAAAAGTATTGGGATATATTGAAGCTGCAGTGGTAGACTTGTTTGAACAGCTACCGAAGAAGATTAATCCTGTTTCTGCAATCCTAGCAGAGACCTTCAGATCGTTAAATGCTTGCAGAAGGCTAGGAGGTGGACGATTCTCAGGGTGTACCCAGTTGTTATATGTTTGGATCCGTAGTCATTTCTGGAGGACAGAAAAGGTTTCATACCGACGCTTTAATACGGATTACTCACCATTAAAAGAATTTCTAGAGCAGGAATGGCCGAAAGAAATTAAGAAAGATATGTGGATTAATGCCTTTCGAAATCTGCAAAGCAATGACGTTGTTTGGCGAGCCCCGTGGCAAATACAAAGGGAATTCATTTACAAATGTGGTGATTACAACTGGATAATGCTGCTCGGATTATGGGGAGGAATTGGATATGCACCACTTCTGGTTATAAGACAGTATGAAGGTCGTCAATTTGTACCTGTTACTGCTGGACTACAGTCATCTGAGTTTGCATTCCACAGCAAAAATTATAAAAGAAATATCATGGAAGCCGTTACAGCTTGGAAAACAACTTTTTGTATCCGAGCTAAAGCAGCAAAAGAAAT